GTAATTCATCAATGTAACGCAGAAAAATCACGGAAATCTCCTCTTTGGATAACAACATATCTCTCGTTTTACTTTCAAAACGTCTCTAAATACGTTCATTCGCACGACTATCGGACGACTTTTCTCCATGAAGCGTGTTGAATAGTAAATCATCAAGATAGGTGGGGTTTGAGGCCAGTTCATCGATGGATAATTCTTGGAGAGAACTACACAATAATAGCAGTCCCAGGCACTAAAGCACATGGATTGAGTAGTGTAAGTCAGCAAACAAACATAGGAGTGGTCCATGGATACCCTTCTGGCTTGGCTGCAAAGACAGCCATCCAGCTGCCTTCATTAAGACAAGAAATTAAATTGGGCAACTTTGGTCCTACAATATGATTCCATTCATTCATTTATACACACTTTTCTTTCTATGTAGGGTTTCATATACTTAAGGCTACTGTACTTTCATTTTGGCCTCTAGCTAACACAATTTTCATCAACTTCATTCCTAAATTATTGGAATATATATTAAATAATAAATCGGAATTTGCCATTTAAAACTTTCCTGATAATTGTGTAGTTGTGCATGAACTCTTAGGATTTTCATATATATGAATAGTTCAATGAGTCATCAACACTGGATTCTCAGCCATACAAATAATTCAATGTGTTTATCGACGTCTTCCTCCAAGATGAAATTCAAGAAATATTAAGGCGACAAAATCATGTTCGAATCAAGATTTGAAGCCACACCTCTCCTCAAAAAGATAGGTGGGGTGATCAGGAAGAAATCCAACTTTTGATTCACTTGTCAAATTCGTAAGGACCATCATGGCACCTATCTATACATTCCTTATCAATGTATGGACAACTATCTAACTTATATCTAACTTATTCAAAAGAATAGGTTGTCCAAATGATATTTATATACGTAGCAGAGTTATAAAGGTTTGTTTTTTGTTAGAATGAAATGAACAAGATCATTAGAACCAGAATCGGTACATTTAGTATTACTCATAAAATTTTCATTTTTTTTCCTTTTTTACCGGAAATTTAAAGGAGTTAATTGTTTCAATGCTCACCGAACTTTGGACAGTGTCACGTTTTACTTACTGTACTTTAAGTTGCACCCTATTACTCACCGAATTTTACACCGTTGCACTCCATTACTCATGAGCTTCATCTCGTTAATAAACACTGCTTACATGGAGGAGGGATTTTTACATGTGGCAGTTAAATGCCATGTCATTATCCCAACCCAACTCCCAACCCCGCCTTACCCAAAAATTAGATTGAAGTCGTGTAAACATAAACAAAAACCCAGACATGATTTCTCCTCGCTCCTAACCATGAACCCTATCCCCAAATCGTTCCCTTGAAAGCGATATTGCAGAGTACCCTACCCCTAAATCGAAACTCCATCATAATCGAAGGCAAAACGTGACCACGAAGCTTGGATTTGTGAAGATTGACTGTTCAAACGTTGACATGGATTGAAGAAATAGGGGTAATTCCTTTTTTTTTTTTTTTTCTAGCTACGATGCTATCAATCATTTAGAATGAAATTTGTCTCTCTAAATGAGCTTTTAGTGATATAGATACTTGATGATGTTAATTTATAGCGTTAAACGTGTTTTGTAATTTTCGTTTAATGGATTATTGATGAAACGCATGGAAAGCTGACAGGTTGTGCTATTCTTTGTTCAAATGTATGTTAGGAATCAATTGCACTGAGGAGAATTTCTTTATTCCAAGTGACTGACTGTGGTTTATTTAGGCCCTTTAGATGTAATATTGTTTGTCTTCTGGCGATGAAAAATTAAATTTGTTTTGGTTTACGTGGCAATTGATATTATTCACCAGATATAAATAGCATAGCTTCGGTGACTTCATAATAAAAGTGTGGTGCTTCTAATTTTCGTAGGTTTATATGTGCGTCATCTCAAATGTTTCTTCACATTGTGACTGTTGTACCTGTGTTTTTAAGTGGATCTATTCTGAGCATATGTTGATATAATATTTGGTGGATAAAACAGATCTATTACATTCAGAATAACAAATATGAGTGGCATTGTAGAAGTATCTTGGACATCTGGCTTTGTAGAAATACCTCTTTGAATTATTAACTGTATTTATCAAAATTGTCCACATTTTAACTATTTTCTACATATCAGGAATGTTGACATTCTTCAGTATCTTTTTGTTGTGTAGGAAAGAAAAAGGGAATTTCTTACTGTTATAGATAGTCGGGACACCAACTGCGGGACTGCCAAAAAAAGTAGTGATGTCGAAATTGTGCTTCAGGCTTTCTGAAATGGATGGAAGTAGAAAAGAAGACCGAAAACATAGGTCTGTTATTCATTTGGATCAATATGTATTTGTTTGGGGAAATACAATCCTACACCTCTAATTGACGATCTATCGACTATGTTCAAACATTTTGCAGAAATCCATATGCAAGGGAAAAGGAGCTATGGAAGAGAACGGGAAAAAAAAAATTGAAGGGATTTGTGAA